CTCCATTGAGCTATAGGTCTATTTTTGTGCCAGTACTGTGTTGTTTTTATGACTAGAACTCTGTAATATAGTTTAAAATCTGGTATAGTAATCCCCCAGCATTGGTCTTAGTGCTCAGGGTTGCTTTGGCTATCCAAGGTCTTTTGTGCTTCCATATGAATATTAAGATTTTTTTCCCAATTCTGTGAAGAATGTCATGGGGATTTTGGTTGGCATTGCATTGAATCTATAAATGGCTTTTGGTAGGATGGTCATTTTCACAATATTAATTCTTCCAATCCATGATCATGGGAGGTCCTTCCATCTTCTGATGTCTTCCTCAATCTCTTTCTTTAAAGATTTAAGGTTTTTGTTGTCAAGGTCTTTAATATCTTTGGTTGGTCAGGTTATTCCAAAATATTTTATTTTGTTTTGCTTTTGGGGGGCGTATTTTGAAAGGGAGTGTTCCCATGTGCTCTTTCTCTGATTGCTTGTTATTGGTGTATAGAAAGGCTACAGACTTTTGTAGAGTAATTTTGTAACCTGCCACTTTACTGAAAGTGTTAATCATTTCTAGGAGGTTTCTGGTGGAATTTTTGGCATCTCTTAAATATAATATCATATTGTCTACAAAAAGTGATAATTTGATCTCTTCTTTTTGAATTACTACTCCTTTAATTCCCTTCTCTTGTCTTATTGCTCTTGCAGGAGTTTCAAGCACTATGTTAAAAAAAGAGTGGAGATAGTGGACAGCCTTGTCTGGTTCCTGATTTTAATTGGAATTCTTCCAGTTTTTCTCCATTTAGAATGATGTTGGCTGTGGGTTTGTTGTGTATGGCTTTAATTAAGTTGAGGTATGTTCCCTCCAGTCCAATTCCCTCTAGGACTTTTATCATGAACGCATTCTGAATTTTGTCAAAGGCCTTCTCTCCATTTATTGAGGTTACCATGTGGTTCTTGTCTTTGAGTCCATTTATATGATTTATGATGTTTATTGATTTGCATATATTGAACCATCCCTGCATCTCTGGAATAAAGCTGACTTGATCATGGTGGATGATCTTTTTGATGTGTGTCTGTATGCGGTTTGCAAGTATCTTGTTGAGAATTTTTGCATCTCTGTTCATTAAGGATATGGGTCTATAGTTTTCTTTTTTGGTTGTATCTTTACCTGGTTTTGGTATTAGAGTGATGCTGGCTTCATAGAAGAAATTTGGAAGTTATCGCTCCATTTCTATATTTTTGAATAAATTAAGTAGTATTGGATATAGATCTTTAAATGTCTGGTAGTATTCTGCTGTAAATCCATCTGGTCCTTGGCTTTTTTGAGTTGGGAGGTTTGTATTACTGTTTCAATTTCCTTATGTGTTATGGGTCTGTTTAAGCTGTTGATCTCTTCTTGGTTTAGTCTTGGTGATTTCCATACTTTTAGATACTCATCCATTTCTTTTAGGTTTTCAAATTTAGTAGCATATAGGTTTGTAAAATATTCCCTTATAATGTTCTGTTGTGATGTTTCCCCTTTCATCTCTGATTTAGTTGATTTGGTGGTGGTTTTTCTTTCTTTTGGTTAACTGAGCTAAGGGTCTGTCAATCTTGTTTATCTTTCCAAAGAACCAGCTATAGGATTTGTTGATTCTTTGTATTGTTTTTTTTTTTGTTTGTTTCTATTTCATTAATTTCTGCTCTGATTTTTGTTATTTCTTCTTGTCTGCTGGGCTTGGGTTTCATTTGTTGTTGCTTTTCAAGTGTCTTGGGCTGCAATGTTAAGTCATTTATTTGTGTTCTTTCCAATTTTTTAACGTAGGCACTTAGAGCTATAAACTTCACTCTAAGGAAGCTTGCAGCATGTCCCAGAGGTTTTGTTGTGTTGTACTGTCCTTTTCATTTAGTTCCAGGAATACTTTTATTTCCTTCTTAATTTCTTGTTTGACCCATTCATCATTCAAGATTTAATCTCCATGTGTTCATGTAATTACTAGGGTTTCTTCTGGTGTTCATTTTAAGCTTTATTGCATTGTGGTCTGATAGAATGCATGGAATTATTTCAACCTTTTTGTATTTGTTGAGGTTTGTTTTGTGCCCCAGTATGTGGTTGATTTTGGAGAACATTCCATGGGGCACTGAATAGAAAGTATATTCTTTGGTGCTTGGGTGGAATATTTGATAGATATTTCGTCCATTTGATGTATAGCATTGTTTAATTCAGATGTCTCTCTGTTAATTCTCTTTCTGTTGACCTGTCTAATGGAGACACTAGGGTATTGAAGTCCCCTAGTATTAGTGCGTTGGAATTAATCTGTGTCTTAAAGTCCTGTAGTACTCTTTTTATGAAGTTGGGTGCACCAGAGTTTGGTACATATATGTTCAT